TTTTCTCTTTCCCTTTCCCTTTTACTAGTTTCCCCCTCTCTCTCTCCTTCCTTCCTTCCTTCCTTTCTTCTTCCTCTTCTCTCTCTTTCTTTCTTTCTTTCCCTCCCTCCCTCCCTCCCTTCCTCCCTCCCTCCCTTCCTTCCTCCCTTCCTTCCTTTCCTTTCTTTCCTCCCTTTCCTTTCTTTCCTCCCTTCCCTCCTTCCCCCTTTTCCCCCTATCCCCCTTTCCCCCCTCTCTTCTTTTTTTGGTATGTGTACCAGGCCTTGAACTCAGGTCTCATGCTTTGCCTCATGTTTTGTTGTTTACAGGTGATGCTCTATCACTTGGCTATGCTTTTTTCTAGTCTGCCATTTTCTTTCTCTCTCTCCTCTACCTTTTTTTGTTGTTCAGGACCTGAACTCAGCATCTGACAATTTCTCTTATTGGCTGATGTTCTGAGCCATGCCTCCAGCCTGCAATATTTCTTTTTAGAAATATTTAATATAGTAATTTGTTGTGATGTAGCATTTTTCTAATTTTGACTAAATTCTTTTTCATTTCAATAGTTTAAACTAGTTTCCTGAGGGATAGGCTATAAAAGTTTTGCTTATACAGCAAAGATGTATGCTTTAGATTGACTCTTGTTTAAGTTGCTTAATTTATTGGAACTCAGATTACTGGAATTTTTAGTTTGGGGAAAAACTTTAGTCAGAGATAGATACAAGAAGAAAATGAAATCTCTAAAATAAACACAAAAATAAATTAGATTAGAAAAAGGAGATTAACGAGTTGCAATCGAATGTAAGTGATTATAAACAATCAGTTCATTTAATTCTGAGCTTTCTGGCAGCACTGTTAAAGGAAATATTAGGTTGGATGACTTTCACTGTTAACCAAATATTTCCGGGCTGGGAATGAAGCCCTGGGTTCGATTCCCAGTACCACAAACAGAAAAAGCTGGAAGTGATGCTGTGGCTCTAGTGGTAGAGTGCTAGCCTTGAAGCTCAGAGACAGTGCCCAGGCCCTGAGTTCAAGCCCCAGGACTGGCAAAAAAACAAACCCAAAAACAAACAAACAAAAGAAACCTTTAAATTATATCATAGAGGGAATTTTGTTCTGGGAAACATGTCTTCTTCTTCTTTAATACAATAAATATGCAAATATTTTCTTTCACTTTCTCACTCCTCTTCTTTCCCTTTCTTTCCTTTGAGAGATGGTCTTACTTTCTTGACCAGGCCGGACCTGACTGATGCTCAAGCAGTTCTGCCTCTGTCTCGAACTAGGATTACAAATGCATGCTACTCCTCTTAGTTCATATAAATATTTGTATTCTTTTTTTTTCTTCTTTTGTGCCACTGGATTTGGAATTCAGGGCCTTGTACTTGCAAGGCAAGTACCTTGCCACTATAGTCACACCCCAACCCATTTTCCCGTTTTTTTAATAAGGTCTCAATTTTGCCCAGACTGGCCAGGCCCATGATGCTTCCCAAGTAGCTAAGCTAGGAGGCGAGTGCCACCACACCCAGTTTTTTATTGGTTGAGATGTTTTTCAGGAACTTTCTTGCCCAGACTGGCCTACATCTTTGATCATCCTAATCTCAGCCTCTTAAATCATTAGAATTAAAAGTGTGAGCCACCATGCCTGGCCTCAGATATTTTTAAAGTAGTTTTCTTCTTTGAGTTTTTTGCTTTGTTTTGCTTTATTTTGTGTTTGATAATGGGGCTAGAACCCAGGACCTTACACATGCTAATCATGCTACATTTATTATATAATCTTTTAGGATCTGAATGTATGAAATTTGGAAACCTGGTAGTTAACATGTCCTTAGACTCTGCTTAACTTTTTTTTTTTTCTACTTTATTTTATTTTAATTTTTGGTGCTATCCTGGGGCTTGACCTCAGGGCCTGGTGCTGTCTTAAGCCTTTTGTTGCTCAAGGCTAGCACTCTACTGCTTGAGCCACAGCTCCATTTTGAGCTGCTTTTTTGATATTGGAAATAAGAGTCTTGCACACTTTTCTGTTCAGGCTGGCTTTGAACTATTATTCTCAGATCTCATTCTTATCTGAGTAATTAGGATTGTAGGTGTAAACCACCAATGCCCTGCTTGACCCTGCTTAACTTTTTTTTTTGTTGTTTATTTCTTTTATTAGTAAGTATCAGGATATGCACTTCTTTTTTTTTTTTTTTCTTTTGGTCCGGTCCTGGGGCCTGAATTCTGGGCTTAGGCCCTGTCCCTCAGCTCTTCAGCTCAAGGCTAGCACTCTTCCACTTGAGTCACAGCGCCACTTCTAGTTTTTTTCTTTTTGCTTATGTGGTACTGAGGAATCGAACCCAGGGCTCATGCATGCAAGTCAAGCGCTCGACCAGTGAGCCACCTTCCCAGCCCCTGCTTAACTTTGTATTTTGGTAGCACCATAATCCAGGAGACTGGATGTGAGTAATAAAAAACCTACTAGTTGGTCCAAATACTGAAGGTCGGGCTGGGAAGGTGGCTCAATGGTAGAGCTCTTGCCTTGAATGCATGAGGCCCTGGGTTCGATTCCTCAGCACCACATAAGAAAAAAGCCAGAAATGGTGCTGTGGCTCAAGTGGTAGAGCGCTAGCCTTGAGCTGAAGA